CTTCTCCTTCTCCTTCTCCTTCTCCTTCTTCTTCTTCTTCTTCTTCTTCTTCTTCTTCTTCTTCCTTTTCCTCCCCTCCTTCTTTTCCTTCTTTTTCCTCCTCCTTTTTCTTCTTCCCCCTCCTCCTCCTTCTTCCCCCTCCTCCTCCTTCTTCCCCCTCCTCCTCCTCCTCCTCCTTCTTCAAGACAGGATTTCTCTGTGTAGCTCTGGCTGTCCTGAAACTCATTCTGTAGACCAGGCCCCTCCTCCTCCTCCTCCTTCTTCAAGACAGGATTTGTCTGTGTAGCTCTGGCTGTCCTGAAACTCATTCTGTAGACCAGGCTGAGCTCAAACTCATAAAGATCTGCTGCCTCTAACTCTTGAGTGCCGGGATTAAAAGCATGCGTCACCACTGCCTAGCTAGGATTTTGTCTTTTTAAAAAAGCTATTATTTACTTCTTAAAATCAACATTAGGCATGTAGGTGTTTTGATTTTCAGTGAATAAAGGGCTATTTAAAAAAAAGATTTATTTATCTTTTGTACATGAGTGCTCTAGTTGCATGTGTGCCTGCATGACAGAAGAGGGCATCAGATCCCATTATAGATGGTTGTGAGCTGCCATTGTTGGGAATTGAACTGAGGATCTCTGTAAGAACACCCAGTGTTTTCTCCACTCTTTCCAGTCCCTGAGAATTGGGCTATTTAAATTATTGTGAATGCTTTTAAAGTTAAAACAACCTTTTCTCTTACTTCAAATTTAATCCATGCTTATTACCAGAAAGACAGACAGACATGATGGGGATGTGGCTCGATGGTATAGTGCCTGCCTGGTGTGGGTGATGGACCATGCGTTAGACCTCCAACAAGAGAGGAAGTGGATGAAAAGAAAGATGAACATATTGGCAGCTTAGTGGGGAACCATATGGTACTGGGAAAAGAACAGCCCCTGGCATTAAGTTGTATGGATTCAGACTTCGCCACTCCACATGCCACCTTGTGACTTGGAGCTGTTTGATTTCTTTGTCTCACATCCTTACCTATAAATAAAATAATATAAAAAATTAAATTAGATAAATTGTGCAACAAACCTTGAGTGAATGTGACACCTGGGCCCAACTTTCTGGGTCTTTTTTGTCCTAGTATCTTAAAATAGGGATTGTGCTGGTTTCGATACATTTGAAAAGAACCCCTTGCATCTCAAAGTCACTTTCAACCAAAATTGTTTTCCCTGCACTTTTTTTGTCTACTGCATAGGAGGGGAAAATGTACATATGCAGATAAAATCTTACTCATAAAATTAATACTGAAAGCTGTAAAGCAAGGTAGACCTTTGTTTCAAAATTCAAAGTTGATCTTTCTACAACTTTTCCAGAAATGGTAACTGTTCAAGCTCTTTCATGTAAATGGTCTCACTAAGCTTACATAAACTTCCTCTAAAAGACTAAGACATTGGAATTACCTCTATTATTTGAGCCAATCCTTGTAGGGAGCCGTCCCTGCATTCTCCATTACAAGATGGCGCCTGCATCCGGCAGGCACCAAATGTAAACAAGTTAATGCGCGCAGGCGCTGGGTAACTTTCCATTCCTTGATCTCTGCCTCTTCCGTGGCGTCATATGGTCCGATGAGCTGCAGCCAATCATAGGGTAACACGTCCAAGGCGGCGGTTGCCAGCCTTTATTAGGGGACGGGATTCTTGGCTCGGGGTCTCCGCTCTGGTAAGCTTATGCTCTCCTCTCAAGACGCATTAAAGCTTTACTGCAGAAGGATCCGAATGTCCTGTGTGGTTCTTGCTGACAAGACTATCGCGCAGGACAAATCCCTCCTTAAATTAGGGAGAGACCACTGCTGACTACTTGAACTTAGGAAGTAAACAAGACTATCGCGCAGGACAAATCCTTCCTTAAATTAGGGAGAGACCACTGCTGACTACTTGAACTTAGGAAGTAAAATTACAACTTGTCTCATCTTCTCAACACTGAAAGATTTTCAATCATGTCTTCTACCTATCTTATCTTAGTGACACCAACATCCAGAGAGTCAGCCAAGCTCTAGGTTGGCTGGTTAGGTATCTGTCTAATATACACTTGCTTCAACTAGGACATTCTAGAAATTACTGGGATGTTTCTTAAACATCTCCAGAAGCAACCATTTGCTTGCTAGCTTTTGTTCATCAATTTATTATTTGAGACAAGGTACCTTGTAGCCCAGGCTGGTCTACATGAACTCCTGATCCTTCTACCCTCTTGAGTACTAGGTTTATGGGTGTGAGCTATCAGGCTTGTGTATGAAACAGTTTTTTAAAAAAAGGTCTGGGAATGGTGGTGCATACATTTAATCTCATCGATAGGCAGGTAGATCTCAATGACTTTAAAGCCAACCTGTTCTAGATAGTGAGATACTGTTTGAAAACAACTACAACAACAAAGTGTGCAAGTGAAATTAGAACTTTTCTATCTTCTCAAAGCTAAAAATCAAAGTGTATGCATTGCTGGGAGCCAGAGGAAGACATAGGTGTCCTGTCCTATCACTCTCTGCCTTATTTAGCCCTTTGAGACAAGGTCTCTCACTGAACCCAGAGCTGGCTGGCAGCCAGCAATAATCCTCTCCTCCCATGTCTGTCTTCCACAGCACTGGTTACATCAGGTCTGTGCTCATAATCCTCCCCTCCCATGTCTGTCTTCCACAGCACTGGTTACATCAGGTCTGTGCTCATGCCTACCTCTTTATGTAGCTACTAGGGATTCAAACTCAAGTCTTCAAGCTCTGTAAGTGCTCTTTTTTTGGGGTGGGGGGCATCCAGATAGGGTTTCTCTGTGGCTTTGGAGGCTGTCCTGGAAGTAGCTCTTGTAGACCAGGCTGGTCTCGAACTCGGAGAGAGCCAAGTGCTCTTATTTTTTTGCTGGAAAAATATTAGAATTTTTGAAGGTGTACCTAGTTTCATTTTCCCTTTTATGACACATCCCACTTGAAATTACCATAAACTATTTATGAACATAAATAGCATTCAGCATTTTCTTCCTAATTTCTAAATTGTTACACAGCCATTTCTTTTTTACTTTTTTAAAATTATGTTATGTGTATGTGTTTTGCCTGAGCATTTGTCTGTGCACTATGTGCATTCTGTGAGTTCAGAAGAGGGGCTTTGGATACCTTGGAGTTGGGCTCTTATGTCCTGAACCATCTCTTCAGCTCCAGTGATCTCTTTTTAGCCAAAACATTCCCTCCTGGTGGGAAGCCTAAATTTAGGACAAAGCTTACATGGTCCAGGAAGTAATCAAAAGTTATAAGACTCCAGAAGTAAATAAAAACTTACAAGGCTCATGAAGCTTCTTAAAGAAGTCATAAGACCCCTACATAAGCAGTAAAAACTGCCAGGAAGGGAGTGACTCCTGTATGTCATTTTTCCGTTTCTCATACAAATCAGCCAAGCTTTCTCATCTCAAAAAGGAAGAGTTGTTCACATAATGAATCTGATGGGTTCACTATAAAGTTTTTGAAGTCTTTAAGTAAACTGGTATGTAATGGATGGTGTACTCCTTTGGGAGACGCAATGAGGTCTAAGAGGAAATACATATGCTATTAAGTGGTGCCCAAAAACTTGTGGTCCTTCTCTACTTCATTTTAAAGATCAAGCTATGTAAAAAACTGAGGTGGGAGGAAGCTCTTCAGTCACTTGTGTGCCTCCACTCACCAAATCCATAAGGCTCACAAATCTGTTGTCACCTGTCTGTCTAGATGGTACCTGAGGGGACTGGTGAGATAGCTCATGGTTAAGATCACTGGGTATTCTTCCAGAGGAGCCACACTGTGTGGCTCACAACCATTAGCAACTCTAATTCCAGCGATCCAACACCCCCATGTGACCTCCTCATGTAGCAGGCACACATGTGGTGCACAGACATACATGGGAGTGAAACACTCATACACATTTTTTAAAAAAATCTAAAAATACAAGACTAAAGAAAAAGGTTTTGTGTGATACGTGCAAATACTTTAGTCAACTTACAATTTGATTACCTTTTCCTATATAAAAAATTTGCCTTTTGCCTAAGTCTCACTAACTCATGCGGTTGCTCACACTGCTTTACAGGTCATGTCAGTTTCCTAGGGCCTCAGTTTTCAACAGCTAAAAACATTTTGACTATAAATCGTGGTAATTTAGAACCATGTAATTTTTTGTTTTAATTTATTTTTGGAGATAGGGTCTATTATGCAGTCCTGGCTGATCTGGAATTTCTTGTGTAGATCAAGCTGTAGACTCACTGTAATCCACTCGCCTCTGTCACCCTAGTGCTGGGATCAAAGGCATGTGCCACCACACCTGGCCAAACCGTATAATCTTAAGATTGTTTTTCAGACAGGTTTTTAATAAATAGCCCTTGATTGTCTTGGAACTTGATATGTAAAGATTGAAGTGATCAGGTGATACTCCTGTTGTTGCCTCTTCGATGCTGGGATTACTGGCAGGCATCATGCATCGCGAGGTATTTTTACTTAAATCTAAATATGTAATTTAAAATATAGCTTTACTTAAGCCAACAGTGGCACCAACCGGTTGAATATAATCATTCATTGTAATAAATATTCATTCGGTAAAATATCTGCCCAGAATTTAGGTGTTTCCGGAGACACTGATTTGGTACCGTTTTGAAATCCTCCCCAGGGCGTTGGGAACCGGTGAAAGACTACCTGGTTTGCCAAACAAGAACCGAGGAGAGGAGGGGCCTGAGGGAGGCCGGTTCCCCCAACCCAGCGCGAGAATACGCCTCAGCGCATGCGCAACTCCGGGCGGGTCCCTTCCATCTGTCAGATGGGGGTGGCAGCAGAAAACTGCCTATAGATTTTGAATTTCTACCTTCAAGAAAGAGCCTAGATTGTGAGGAGTTCCGTGAACAGTATTAAAGTAGTGTTCTCCAAAGTCAGCACCAGGGACCCTTGGCATAGACGTACAAAACAAGAGGTGACTCCTCGTTACTTCCCCCTCCCTCTGGGACAGTGGTGGTCTGATCCAAGCCACAGACTTTCGCTCGTTTGCAGCGGGTCGGAGGATCGAAGGATTGAGCCAATTGCGGACGAAACGTCTTTGCAAGGAAGGGGGTGAGGGAGCAGCCCTTTGAGTTCCGCCTCTTCTCTAGGCGCTGGTGGGGAAGGGGGACGTAAGGAATCCTGCCCTCTGAGCCGCGGACCCGAC